TTACCAGTACTGACCATGAGTTTTGAGATTGGTGAATTATCGATTGGCGAAGGTTACTTCCACATTTCAATTTTTGCCTCACTTTTTTTACTAATAATCTTTTTGGGACTGTACAGTTTCCAATGTCTATTTCGCAGCTCAGTTACGGTTTATTGTTGACCACCTTGACGAGTCGTTTAGATTTGATTTTATTCGCCTTTGACACGGCGGTTTCTCAGTACCGACCGATTTATGATGTTACAACACACCTGGTAACACCGTTGCATCGCGTTGTCTCTATCCGTTTTCGCTGATCGTCGTGTCTCATCATCTTTGCCCGGGTCTATTGTCCCCCATATCATCGTACCGTTTATCAGCACTCCCTACATGTGGTGCGCACTCAATGCGCTTGGCGCCAGAAAGCGCCACCAATAGCGCCCGCACTATCTATCTATTCATGTTTCACCGCAGTGATGTGGTGATCGAGATGAGAGCCACGGGGTGAATTTTCTCCCCCCAACATCTCTTGACGGCCCGTGACGTCCGTTCTCACTTTCGATCATCTTCGCTGATCAACTATCTAATAATCAACAGGATCACATATTTCTGTACATATTCATTTTGTAAAATCACAAGTTACTCTGCAAACGTGCCATTTTCCTTTCCATTTTTAACTTTACGGACCTTTTATTCCACTTCCGGTTCCTCTAATTCAACCTCGTAATGTCTCTCGGATTCATCCATGGTTTCTATTTGGTTACTCGCCATAAATTTCATTTACGACTTTCAGAAAACCTCTTTATACCATATTCGGTCCCTCTCTGCCTATTCCATAGCCATTGTGACATCTACGAGGGCTCATGATGGCATTCAATTCGGCCTTCAATCCGGCACAGGTAATTCTTAACTCCCAAATTTTTTTAACAAACTATACTGACTACTCTCTTTTGAATTACCTCTAACTCTTTTCCAATTTCCTTTTTATCAAGTTAAAAGACCGAAATAACAACTAAGCGGAAGGTAAAAAGTGATGGGACATCGAACGGAAATGAAAAAGGGGTAGTGATAGCGGGAACTGAAATCGACTACTTCGTAGGTAACTCATTTATAAAGCTAAATAAATGCTATTCGTCGAAGTAAAACCTATTCCTACTGAGTAATAGCTTCCGTCAGATAAAAACGATATTTTTGATCAATTTTATGCTTGTGACCTGATGCATCTATTATCCCAGAAGTCGACTATCATGTTCCGATTCTCGCTCGTTTTTCAGCTTCTCACCCAAGCCGCCGGCCAGCCGTTAAAACCCGACGGTTGTATGGAGGTGAACGCGGACGCGCTACGATTTCTCGCCGCTGGCAATCCGCTTTTCGGTGGCCAGTTCCCGTTCGCGGCTGCTGCCGGCGTTCCAGGTGTCGGCCCAGCGGACGCTTTCCGTGCCATGGCTGCCCAAGCCGGTCTACCGTTTCCGGTCATGTATCCAGGAATGCAACCGGTTAGTTTACACGTATATACTGTATAATCTTTTCCTTTTCTTTTCTTTCGCTTTCTCCCCCCGCTGCTTTCTCCCGTCCGTTGTCTATTATTTCGTCAACGGCGGCCAGGCGAATGCCCTTGTACAAATGAAGAGTACTCGGCGACCGCCCTCGGACCCCTGCTTATCGCGGCCATCTTTTTCTTCGTTCGTTACTCAACCATCATCACTCTTTTTTTTGGAACATTCCCAATTTATTCCTGTCTACGGCAGGCCCTACAAAAATCTGCCTTGTCTCTTTTGGTTATCAAGTTTCTTTATTTCGCTTTACAACTTTGTTGCCATGTGTGAATGGCTCGACGATATTGTCGCTACTAATACATCCTGCTCAGCTTACCGTATCCGGCCTTGTCAACACGAAAAGCAATTTCAATTTGGTTGCTGCTGCTCTGTGCCCCATGTTTTCCACTATATGCGAGAGCCCGCCTTGAAAACATTATCATGTTTTGCTCCTGTTTCTCTGGCTGGCTCGCTCTCGTCATATGTGCACTCAAATCCCCTACACCGTAATCTTCTTTCGTGTAGTTGTCCTGACTGGAAAAAAAGGCAAACTGCTCTGCCATTCTCACGTAGTACTACGTCAGCCATGCCAACGATCACTACCACACGTAGGTGGCGTCAAGGTCGCATCTGGTCATTATGTGTTCTGCGCTCACGTACAAAGAAAGACACCAAACTGATTTCATTTCTCGGATTAACTTATCTCTACTGGTTTAACCTGCTCGTTTTCAGGACGTCAAGCCGGAAATGATGTCTGTTGGAGGAGGTCCAATCCCTAGTTTTGTATTCGATGTGATGAATCCCTACCATCCGTATGCGGCTGGTCTTGATGGAGCTCGAAGGAAGAACGCTACGCGGGAAACTACAGCTCCACTGAAAGCTTGGCTGACTGACCATCGAAAGAACCCCTATCCGACAAAGGGCGAAAAGGTCATGCTAGCCGTCATGACGAAGATGACGCTTACACAGGTTTGTACAACAATGATACGGTAGCTGTGCTGACGAAACAAGTTATTGCAACGTCTCAAAAACATATACAGCGCTAGTAATTAGCATTTGCGGTGCATTGACTTCCCCCGTTAAGATCCTTATCTTGGTAATTTGTAAGCCGCTAATCGCCGCACATTAGAAAACGGGTCCGACAAGTGTGGTTGAAATTCTGAAGTGGTGTGATGGTGAAACGACGCCAATGGCGATGCCATTGGCGTGTCGTGACGCGGCACCTTTAAAACATCACGATTACCTCGTCGCCATCCTCGGACCTAATTATCGCCCCGTTGGATAGCGATATACGTAAGAAGAAAATTGCGCCACTGCGCCATGTCTTTGATCTTTCAATCAAAATTCTGCTAATTGTGATTCGCAGCCATTTTCGGATGATTGCATACGATCACCAAGAAACGATCATCATTCCTCCTCGTCCAAACTGTCACACGGCCTTGTTACATGCTAGTAGGCTTGTAGATGTTATCGCATAACAGAAATTCTCGCCTTGTCCAAAGATTTCGGCGATTCACGGTGTCGTCGGCGGGGGTTTGAAACGCCGTTGAGCGCTGAAGAAACAGATATGACCTGATTGCAATCGCCTACCCGTGTCGCGCTCAGCATAGCTTCGTTTCGATGAGCGGCAATGATCGATGATGATTATGATGTGATTTGTAGGTGTCCACTTGGTTCGCAAATGCTCGACGACGACTGAAGAAGGAGAACAAGATGACGTGGTCACCACAAAATCGTCGTGGTGATGACCCCGACGACGATGATCTGGCCGATATCGATGCCATCAGCGGTATCGACGGCATCGACCGACCGTCCAGCTCCATGTCTGACATGTCCGAGAAAAAAGACGGTAGGTGTTTCTTTCTGAATCGCGAGTCATAAGGCCATGATAGATTTTTGGCTCATTTATCCCATTTTCCTTGAACCCATTGATCGGATATCTCATTAACGAGGACCATGGGGACCCAGAATGTCGGGGGTCTCCCTTGAAGATTTTACCATTATCAAATTAGCTGGGTTGTTGAAGGCATAAGGCACAGTAATTTGGTACTCGGTCTAAAATGGTAGCAAGGGTGCCATATAGTGGACGAAAAAGGCGAAAAAGCGAAGTGAAACGGTCAAAACTTGCAAAAAGCTTTGTTCTACACGACTCGAAAGCATTTCGGACGAGTTTCCCGTTGGCATTGTGCCAATAACCGTTACGGTAGATAGGGCTGCATGTATACACCCACATATCAATCCTTTCGCTTCATATTCTATTTGGAAATGAAGCAATACGAGCATCGGTCGGACTTTTTTGGACGTCCGGGTCGGTATGTTGCAGCTTGATAGGGCGCTATAAGGGTACCTTCCCTCAGAAAAGGCGCCATGCAGCGCCTGCTCAAGGGCGCCGAGTTCTGTCCTGCCAGGCTTATTAATACAGCACGTCTTGGGCAGTTATCGTACCACTTCCCTTTAATCCTGTTGTCGAAGCAACAGGGGTCGTATTCGGTTGGCTGAAAGGGAGCGGATGGGATCGTATTTGGAGGAGTCTGTCCCTCTAAGATTGACCTCTTTGTAAGAACTAATAGCGGTCTCTTTCGTTAAATAGGGGGAAGGGAATCGTACTGATGTCGACCTTCAGAGGGGTGGGGGTCGTACCAGGGCCAACTTTCCGAAATATGATGTATGGCCCTGAAATCCCTGACAGCAATCCGCCAGGCTAACTTACCTGCTCAAGAAGGTTCGAGATGCCTATCGCATACCCACGTACGCATGCAGAGGCTCGATCCACCCCTCTTGGTGAAGCAGATACAAGTGATTAAGTCCCCATCTCACTCCTCAGCTACCTATTTTAACTCTTTCTCCCCTCTTGAGACTGTTTTTCCAACGAGCTAATCCTCCGTCTACTTTCAGAAGTGCCTGCCACCCCAGTGACGAACAACAACCTAAAGACGCCTCTGATGTAAGTACCCCGAAGAAAGCACCAGGAAAAATCTGGTCGATTGCCGACACACTCGGCGAGCTTTCCGACTCGACGACGAAAGCTGAAAGTGAAGCCGGCAGCTCAAAAAAGGTTTGTCAAGCTCACGTTTCCTCCCTCCTGTTGCACTACGACAAGGCCTGGTTTTCCACTAACTGGCTACTTTCAGGACACTCCTAGTACTGATGAGGATCCCGCAGCAGTATCACAATTCCAACGAATGTTCGCTTTGTCGAACTTCCAATTCCCACCACAGATGTTGGCCGCAATGGCGCGACCGGGCGCTATGCCACCGATGCCATTCCTGAATCCGTTGGCGTTGATGGGTTTCGCCGCGCAGCAACATCAGCAACAACAGCAACAACATCCGTCAATGAGTGGTCAGTAGCTCTTGGTTGAACAAATGTACTGAAGTTAGAATGTACTTAGGTGTTTCCGGGGATGACAAGGTACTTCTGAGAACCAGTTATAGGTGTAATAACAAGTGATAGAACATGCATAGTGTCAGTTTTTCCCTTATAAAAATCAGCGAGCAATGATCGATTTTCTTGCTATTGTTGGGCAAAAGTGTTCCTGAGGATCAGTCTGTGCTGCGGCCGTGTTGTGCACTTTGACATTGTGCTATCTTAATCCCTTGTAATACATGGTCCGAGGTGTTCGTGATAACACCCGCGCTCACTGTCTTGCATCGGCAACCTTCCGTATCATTTGCATTACTAAGAGGGGACCTCAAGATAGGAGAGACAAGTAATCACGAAAGGGATGTGATTTGAAAGGCTAGCGACAATTGAACCAAGTGGGCAACATTTGTCGCTCGCCCATTGTCGCGTTGTGTTGTGAGCGATTCGCGTCGTCCACTTCTTTACGCGTTGTATGATCCACTCGCGCATTTGTGACATCTCATCGTTTCGCATATAAAACAAATGAATCGCGACTTTTTCGGCTGATTTATGACGGCGCATAAATTGGTTGCTGCGAGCGGCCGTAAAACTGTCGACGCACTGATATCAGCGATTTTTTCTCCGGGAGTCACCATGATGTACGAGAGCGTTTGCGATTTTTTTTACCTATCGTCTAGATCGCCGCCACTGACCGATCGGATTGTCAAACGAGAAGAGTGAAAGGGCTTCAGGTGAATTACGCGCTACAAGGGAAACTTTTTGAGCTGGCAGACCTTACATGAGAGACTGAGAAGGACAAACTTTCCGGCCTGCTATCTTTCGTAATACAGCCTTGGGCGTGGCCGGTGAAAGAAGAGTTGCGCGTGACCAGTCACTTTCCTTGGCCAGTTGGATTCTGTTCCAGAAACGAAAAAAAAGAGCGCAGACTGATGTTGTTGGACCACTTGACCTGGACCTGATTCTTACCTCCCGACGGTATTGCCATGAGCGGGGCATTTATCGGTGGTAATTACACGGAGGGCACCCACACAGAATGTAATAGCAAAAGGAAGCTAATTTACCAGTAACCTGTACTGAGGACGGACGTTCTGCGATACAGAAGGGCGTGAAAGATGCGCAGCATACTGGTGCTGGGCTCCCGGTGTACCAAAGCTTTTGGTGCCTTTCGAACTTCTTGGGTCTTTAGAATTTCCAGTGATAGGTCGGCAACGGGAGAGGGGGGGGGGGCATTTTCCGTTTTTGCTCCTAGCATCGACGTGTCTGGTGGCTAGACGAGCTTGCTCCAGCTTCGCAAGGGTTCACAGGTTCATTCAGAAAGAGACTTTGTGAACGGAACTAGTACTGCGAGGGGACAAAAAGCCCCCCCTCCCCACCCTCCCGTTGCAGAACTGCGCCAATTTCCATACTCTTGCGGTACGAGCATATCTAACCCCTGGCACTAGAAGGCTACTACTGCTCCACTTTCCTACAACCTTATTAGTTGGCCATAAACCAATAATGCCAGCCGTGAATGAGCTGAAATTTAAACGAGTAATTACCCGTCGGTGTCCTTGCCATTGTGACTGCGCCGTCGTTGTTTGTCTGGCGCTCGTTCTTTCCAAGCGACATTCCGCCAGTGAAGAGTAATAGACAATAACTACGTCGTACTAATTATATCAACATACTAACCTGTACAATCGATCGATAATTAAAGCCATAAATCTTTCAGGTTCGTTCTCATCGGATGCCCAATCATTGAGTCCGTCGTCCAGTCATTCGCCGACCGATTCAACAACGGGTCCTGCAAGAAGCCCTGCACAGGTGCCTCCAGCAACTCCACCAGCACCGGCAGTCAGTACTTCAGCCTTGTCCTCACCGACAGCTTCCCTCACCAGCACATCTAGCACTGTACCGGTGGCGTCAGTGGTTAGTCCTACGCAATCGTCCGCACACGGGTCTAATGATGGCCGATGATCTCGACGACTTCATAAGCCATTCATCTCTTTGTACAGTAATGCATACAACACTTGCGCTTCCTCCACAAAAGCAGTCTCCGTTCTGCTGGATCGATATATCGATTTACGCGTATTGATCACCGCGCGCAATTTCAAATGTAGAGATTTTTTGTGATTTCGTCGTGTTTTCTGCCTGAAAATGGTTTTTTATCATCACATTAGATAGAATAGGGTACACCACTGCTGCATACATAAGCAACCATCCCAGTTGAACATTTAATTTTTGTGTCTTTTTCATTGCGGACGCATTCATCAGAGTTCCCTTAGGTTACTGTAGTTTTTCTGCGTTCATCCATTTTCTCTTTCTTTCTTTTCCGTCTATTACTTTCATTGCGCCTCTCAATGCTTTTATTTTCATTTGTGATTCTGCATGATGTATAATTTTCTATATTATCTTCTCTTCTTTCCCCCATGTCAAATCCATGACTTCTAGGTGGCAAGACTGAAGAACAGTATTTATTCGTTTCGATGTGATCTTATTTGCATATTGGATGATAAAATCGATAAATCAATAGTTCATATTTCACACAATCAGCAGTAATTTCTTCTTGTGAGAATTGAGGACTCTTCAATATACGCTTTATTGGTGAGCTTTCGCTGTCCTAACAGCTTCCTCAGACCTTAAACAGTTAAATCAGCAGTAGTTGAAGGGAACCTTCTGCCTAAATGATTATTGGTCCAAATTCACAGAGAGCTTATTCAACCAATGGACTGAAGGTGACAAGATCAAAAACGCGCCAGACAGCCAATTCCCTCAAAACTCATCGATTCTTAGGACGTTTTTCTAGGGCTTACACCTGTCGTCAAGTACAGATAAGCAGCTGAACAAACGTTGATCTCGTCGCTGTTTGACAGTTCCCCGAGCGCTTAGGGAGGATTTAGCGATTGCTAGCCCTGAAAAACTGATCTATATTGATCATGTCAGATAAGCCTTAAAACTGAAACAACATACTGATAGAGGGTGGTAGCGGCGACAGCCAAGCGAGTCGGCGCACAACCGGAACCTCTCTGTAGAACGATTAATTAGTGTCTCTTTAACAAATACACCTACACATTCCATTATTACTATGGCGGCAACGGTGACTGTTGCACGACGCAGCGCGAACGCGGAGACGGTCAAGACAATCGTAAATCGCTGCTCCGTCGCACGCGGCGGGCGACGTCTCCTTGAGTTGCGTTAACCTATTGATTGAAGCAATGGATTTTGCGAAAGCTACGATATCGTGGATGCTTGTGGCGATTTTTGGTTATACATGTGTTGCTTACGAGATCCACGACCCAGAGAGATGGCCATTTGCATGCGAGACGTCGCACGCGAATCTCACCAACGCGGCGCGCGAACGTGGTATTCAAGGTGAACCGCGACGCGATCGCAACGCAGAGTCATGTACCTCATTAGATGGAGAGGAAAAAATGATTTTGAAACAGTGCACATCACTCGTTGTGGAAATCACAATGGAGTGGGAGTCGTATTCGACTATTTGGGACAACGGGGCCGTGTTCGGTCCCAAGAGGAATTTCGGCGCGATTCGGCGACGGGGGGTGGGGCATTTGCACTTTCGCTGCTTCACTAGTTCCGCTTTACAAGTCTCACTCTGGTGAAACCTGTGAACTCTTGTGAAGCTGGAGCAAGCTCGTCTAGTCACCATGGCAAAACCTGTCAACTCTTGTAAGCTCACGGAATAGCTTTCTAGATGGGTCGACACCGTCAATGGAGAGTAGCAGAAGTGCAATATGTCCCCTCCTTGTCGCTGGACTGCACCGACATTTCTTTTTGGCTAATTTTTCATCATGCAGTCGTGCTTATCCTCCAGCATCTCGTCCCGCTCGATGCCAAGGTTTCGAAAAACGTGATCAATGATCTCAGCCACTTTTCACACTGATATGGTACAAAGGCAAGTCACCAAGAAGGGGGAGGGGGTCGTGACGAAAGGAAAATGGGGGTGGGGTCTGTATCCAGCGGAAACATTCCCACAACGAGACAATTTACCCTGTTTCAGCGAGAACAGCTCCGAACGGTCATCGGTGACAGGGCTTCTATAAACCTGATGTTCCCTTACTGAGAAGGTTCAAAGGTATTCTGTCATCGCATCTGCCGCCGGAGCAATTCCAAGGAGGAAAATAAGGATTAGGGAGGACGAAGGAAAGAAAAGAAATAGTAAGGGAGAAGAAAAAGAAGGAGGAGGAACGCTCCACGATCCACCGATATCCTCTGACTATGGACTTCAGCGTTAGTGTATTACTGTAACGGATTCCGGGGTGCACTTTGCGGCACCCTTTCTATGATCTTTTGCGCAGTCAGCACGTCGTTATGACAGTCGCTTGGAAATTCAACCAGAGTACAAAGGAATTTCCGTCCGTAGTTCCGCTGCAGCGATCCCACAAATGCCACAAATTCCACTAGAACTTGCCTTTTATCGTAGTTGTAAATTGTTTGATTACATTGGTAGTGATGTTCTATTGGTGATAAATCAGACTAGAGAGAGGTGGACGCCGAAACGACACGGATCGGTGTCAATCAGCAGTTTTTCCGTCACCTTTCATAAGACGAAGCGAAACAGTCCTAGCAGGGCATTCCAGGGATGGTCGGGAGAGATAGAACGTGCGAAAGGTAAACTCAAAAATGGAACTTGGTAAAGATCTTTGGCTAGTTGGGACGCTTACTCTCCTTTTGCACATGTAATGAGAAGGAGGGCTCTAATCATGCGTTGGCTTGTTTCCAAAATGGTAGTTCTTCACCTTTCCCTTTTCATGTGCCAGTGGGTCAACTATGAGTAAAGGAATAGGAAGGTAGTTTTTGCAGTAATCGTTTCAGGCGAAAGCTCTATGTTTTCCTTATTATTGCCAGCAAAATGGCATCAGTCAATATAAAAGAACAACAAACTGAAGAATCAATCAAACAGTAAGAGTAGAAAAGCACGCTGGTAGCAGGTATGCAACGCACGTCATAAGTTGCGAATTCCCAGCCGGTCTTATTTACCTTTGAGAAAAAGTTTTCGGTTGATGACTTTCTTCGTTTTTTTCCTGTTTCATGTTCGCTATATGTCCCCCTCCCGTCCCCTCCTCCGCCCTCTCGGCAACAGTTAAAAAAGTGGCGGAATTCCGGGATCAGAAAAGTGGTGGGAAGTTGGTACTCCGCAAGCATTCTCCCTCAACGGCGGGACGTGCTCTGGTAAGGAGACGTAGCTTCTCTAAAAGAAGAGAAAAAGGCCAGTATCTGCACAGCCCCGTTTTTCCAAAACATGCTCGTCACCTATGCGAGACAGGTAGGACCACTGTACCTCCCTCAGTGGTTCGCTCAATCCTTTGAGGCAATGGATAGAATGAAGATGAGGAAGGTACGAAAGCTGCATCACGCCTCCTGAACTGTTGCTTCAGATCAGCAGCAACGGACTGGAGTGCGCCAGTGCAAAAGGATTAGTCTGTCCGCCAGATTAACAA